TTTGTGAACACGCTCGTTGTAATAATTTTCTTTGTTACCTCACCGCCGCCACCCGCTATGAAACTTCGCCGCGGATACTCGCGGAGGAAAACCGCGTGACAAATGACGAACACCCGAGAAAGTTCTTTCAACCAAAGAAATGTTTACCGACCGATGAAGAACTATCTTAGTTTTGTCTACAAACTCGAATCTTCTACGAATCACCATTTATTTTCCTTTCATATAGGGTATATCTTTCATATGTTTTTCATAAATCTTTCATATCTCCAACAAAGAAAGTGGATATTTATGGAAGTTCACTGTTTCTAAGGACTGATTAATGGCGACTCGAATTAAATGGAAACTTACTACCTCAATGAGCATTTCTTCTGAAGAAAGAAGAATGTTGAATCTGTATTTAAGTTGATTAAACATATTATTTCGTTGGAGTTTATTTAGTAGTATTTATTATTAATGCATGCTGGATTGCAATTTGAATGTAAGTTACGTTAGGTAGTGTACCACGAAATGTTTAAGTTTGCAGGAAGAATTGAAAATGGTTTTCTAAGTTACGATTCAGGTTATCGAATTTATCAAGCGGATTAGCTTCCACCGATAGCTGGGGGCGATAATCGTCGACAAGGCTACACAGTTTTCCGCAGGGCTCAGCTTTCAAAATTCTCCTCTCTGAAACGGAATTTTTTGAACCATCGCCGCCGTGGTCCGTTCATAAGCGGTGCCATTGCCAAACGCAGTATTGATGCCGCGAGTAGCATGGCCCGCGCTGCGACCTAGTTCGTACTCGTAAAAAACTCTTATTTCCTCAGGCGACGCGCGACGCCATCATATAAAATTCTTTCGAAAATTACAGTTATCCGAAAAGTGAATAAAAGAATTAATCTTAACTTACCGAAGGCTGTACCAATTTTAAATGATACGGTAAACATTCGGAACTTCCGCATTATCAACTGATCGCTCGAGCGATCGATCTGCTAACGTTTGGAAATCCAACGATATGTATTACTAGGTTTAATACGTACAGGATGTCCTATAGATTTTATGTATAAACTTCGCCAGTATATTCTACAAGTAAAAATAAGACTAAAGTGTAATACAAATATATATATATTCCGTTAAAAATGTGCGATAGCAATATGGAACATAAAATAAATGCAGCGTCTATTTGTAGGTTTCAAAGTGCAATCTGATTTCATTGATATAAATCAACTTGTTACTGATAATATACATTTATAATATACAATGTCTGTGGTAACTTTATAAAGCATTTACATACTTGTCATCGCATTACATTTGAGTCTTATTTTCAATCGTAGAACACATCAATGAAATTTCCATAGAATCTTATGGATCACCCTGTATACTTGTAACATTGTACAGTAACTTTTAAATATTATTTACTTCGCGTTATTTAATAATTCTTAATATTACACGAGTAAGGACCGAATTCTGTATCCCCGGCGCTGTAATAAATTGTTCACAATTTTCTGTACATATCGTTTGTTTTGTAGAATTTACGTATTCTATAAATCTCTCCCGACGCGTGTACAATTTATTACAGCACATGGTACATCGTTAACACTCTATGTTTCTTATACTTTCGTTTATATAGATTAACGTTATACATATATTATTTAATTTCGTTCGCTACAGCGCGGGTAACACGCAATCAAGGGATGGAACACGTCGATCCGGTTAATATGTTAATCAACGTTGAATAATTATTGGAAATTAATTCATCGGAGTTCCCCCTGATGGCCCGCCGGTTAAACGATCGATCGCGATTGGCTTATTCATTTATTCCGCCGGAAACGAAAGAATCCGTATCAATATTGATTTCAGTGGAAGATTCGAGTCTGTTACTCGCAAGACGAAACGACGAATCGAAATTCGGATAACCGTGTACCGTAGTAGAAATAGAAGCTCGCAATCTTGTTTAGAGAACTGATCATTATTCGCCGAGTGAATCGGTGTAATTGACGTGCCGATCAATCGGGCGGTCATTGATCGGAGTTAATCGAAGACGAATGACGGCCGATCACACGGGCCGTCGATGAATGTGATTGAACGGCGAGGACGTGTCGTTCGTGCACTTTTTGCGAGGAATGTTTGTACAGTTGTAGGTACGTGAATTCTGATCGGGTAGCTGCGCCCGCGCCGACACGATAATAATTTGCAATTAGCCATAGAAAGCAGGGATTGAAAATGATAATATCGGTTTCGGTTCTAGAAACAGCTATCAAGAACCGAGGTAATTCATAATTGTTATTCGTTATATAGATTCTGAAACGGTTCTATAACTGTTATTTTTCGGTTCTTCATTTCGATTCTTCATAACTTTTTCAAGAATCGAAAAATAACGATTATAGAACCGTTTTAAAAATAATGTAATATGAAACCGATATACTGAATAAGAATTATGACTTACTTCGGTTCTTCATAACTGTTTCAGTCGGAACCGGTTCAATCCCAAATAGGAAGTATCGCCGGAAGTTAACGTTAATCTTCGTGGTTGTTGGAATTGATGTCACAATTTTCGTAGATCGCGAGAATGTGTGAATGTTGTCGTCTCGCGTGTGCGTGTGACCGTTCCCAGATAGTTGAGCGGAATTTCGAAAAAGGGGACTCGCCATTTCCTCTTGGACGAAGTGTCCTTCGATCGCAGAGAAATATTTTTTGAACAAGAGAAAAAATGGAAAATGAATGAATAGATCCGATATTAGATCCCTTTGCCCCCGTTCGTTTCTATTTTCCTCGGATCAGCACAGGCCCGGTCGTTTGTCTCTTTGGAATCATCGGTAAGATTAAAAGAACGAACATTGTTTATGAATAATTCACGCGAACCGGCTGGTTCGAATGCGTCCACCTTGTATATATGTACCTTGATGTTCAGGGATGAAGGGGCAAAAAGAGAGTGTGTTTACCTTTGATTCGCGTGCTCCGTCTGTCGCTTATAAATTTGTCGATTAGATTGAAAGTGATAAAGGATCTCGTCGTTCGTCGATCTCGTTGGCACGGTCATCTTTCGCCGTTCTGGCGTAAAGAACTTTGTCGGGTCCGGGTGTTGCATCAGTGTTAATAATAGTAACGGTATCACCTAAATGATGTCTGAGTGTATGTCGTTAGTGCAAATAAAAGTATTATTTAAAATGCATTTACGACCTCCGTGTCGGCGTTCACTCCTTTCTCGACCTGACTAACCTGTTAACTGTAGAATTTAGATTCAAAACTCTCTTGTTTTGCTTGCAAATGAAATAAAAAGATTGTCGTGTGTACTCGTGAAACGTAGAACGAACGCACGTAGGGTATATTTTAATGAAAAACCAAAGCAAATCAAAGGATTCATCGTTGAAAACATTATTACCATTTCAAGATTTAAGGTAACATATGTACTCGTCAAACGCAGTTAATTGACTAAAGAATTCACTGCCTAGCTTTCATCTGTACTGTGCAACTCTCAGGGACAAAGGGACTTTTCCACTCAGGACGCTCGCGTCGACAGGTATAGAGCAACAGTTGACGTTATTCGTCGAGCTGCGTGACAAAGGAAGCAGACGAAACAGAATGCAACGGAGTGAGATGTAACGAACATTGACGTCGAATTTTGTTTCTAAGCAGCAACCGCTTTTTATTGTACCGAATCCCTGGGACGCGGAGACAGTGCTACTGTGCTTCCTGGAAGGACAGAGTTGGGGCGTTCGACCGTTACACTTGCCACTGTGTACGTTTAGCTTTGAGGATTGACCCAGAGCTGCACAGTACGCGATACACGACATTTTTGTAGCACAATTAATCGAATTATCAACAATCAACTTATACTAATAAAAGCGTAGCCATTTTTTCTTTTCTTTTTATCGAATATTTCCACGGCCACTAAGTGGTTTTCACGAATCAGAGGTACCAGCAACTCGGCGAGCGCTATTATCTAGCTCGTCAATAACGATGGCGCAATGTGCGCGACGGTTAAGTTCGTTACTTAACGAGGTTCCCCGTGTAAAATTATTAAGCTTGACATTTCACGAATCACCATTACACCGTCGAACTTGTAAAGCAACTTATAATAGATTCAGGCCGGACGACGTCGCTGGGACAGCTCCCCGAACCGTTTCACGCCGATGGCCACGCGACCGCTAACTCTCAAAACTCATTTATCTCTGTAATCGGGATTCAAAATTAATTTCGGCGCGGAGATTTTCCGGTCGCGACGGCACGAAATTATCGTTCCGGAATATCGTTCCTATCAAACGAGAGCTTGATTTCTCGTCGAACTGGAACGCTGTGTTTAATATTTGAACAGTTTCCTATTAGCTGCAGGGTATGCGACGCTGGTTATTCTAGCGATAGCACCACATTTTTCGATCGATATTAACCATTCAAATATGTACATTTTACCAATTTCATTAATTTAAATATATTCGTTCAATCAAGTCTGTCGTTCCACGGTGTTCAACGTTTATATTCTAATCGAAGAAACAACGAAAAGAGTGAAAAATCAGATAATGCGGAGCAACTCGAAATGGAAGCCAGCGTTAATTCAAGAACGCTCATTATTAACGAAATTTTCATAAAATTTCATTCGGAATATTTTTTCTCAATTATTAACAGTTTCTTTGGTGGACCACTTCAAAAGTAATATATCTATCTACAAACGATGACAATAATCATGATCATCTATCTCGTTAAAAATGTCACTGATCCCTCGATTCGATTTCTTTTCAAAACTCCTAAATCGTCGTCAATTTTCAAATCAAATACTATCGAATCGACAAAAATGTTTCCCTTTTCACGCTTTCCTTTACGAAGCTCGAATATCAGCCGCACGTAAGATCGGAGTTGGTACACCCTGTAGAACCGCGAGGAAACAAAAGAAGAACGTGAAAGTTCCCGGTACCTACTGCGGCGCCTGCCGATCCTCGTTACGGATTCAAATGTCTCGTCCCACGCGTACGCCGGCCGCCAGAAACCGTATCGAATCGGTCGCGCTTCCCCTCTGGTCCGGGATTGAGGGACCAGAAAAACTGGTAACCCGGCGAAGAAGAAGTAGCAAAAAGCGCTGCGCGCGCGCGCGGCCGCGGCGAACAAGGCCCCCATTTTAAAAAACCGAGCCGGCGACCGCGGCGGGCACCGCAACCCCGTCTGGATCGTCTGGAATTCAAATAAGGGACATTAATTTCGTCGGGCGAGCGCGCGCGCGGGCGGGCAAGGAACAATCCCTTCTCTGCACCGATACATCGGGGCCTCCGCAAACACGTTTCGAGAATGTTTTCGCGGAGAGTTCCGCCGCGCCGACGGACCGAACACAATCCGGCCCGAGCACTGCGTGGCGAACCGTGTGTGCCGCGGCGAGACCAGACGAGACATCATCGGGTTGGCTCCGATGTCCGATGTTGGTAACGGGCTTCCACGGTGGATTACTGCACCTCGCACCACGGCAAATCGTGTGCCCCGTGTGCGCTCGCTCTGCGCCGCCCGGTTCTCTCTGTGCGTTTTATTAGTAGTGCGCGAGGCGGTCGAGAACTTGGAACACGCTGGATAATGATACTATCAAGGTCGCCGGGGAACCAGTTAGAGTACTAACGAAGGTAATGTGAAATTTACGATACACAGAATATCGGCGAAGAGTTGTGCAACGTTCGATCGGTCCCACCTGTATTCAGTAGTAGTCTCTAATAAATAAATGAATTGCGAAAGGAAGTTTGTTGGGAATTATGTTAATACTGCACGGGGGAGCCCGTTCGTTGCGGGCCAACGGAATTTAGATGGTGCACGTATTTCGCGGCGGAATGTCGTTTTTGTAGCGATACCGTAACGAGTGCGATGTTTCTCGGTTTAATTTCACCAAGATTTGCAACTGGTGTATTAAAGATTTATTTTCTCAGGGAGAATTTGAGAATCAGATATATCTTTTGTGGTATTTTTGCGATCTTTTCAGGAAACGTGACCGCCTGAAACAAGTATACCGTCGTTGCATAGATATTTTCGTCGTAAAGTATACAAGAACCGGCATAGATATCGCCGCGGAAGTTTTACACGTGTCCCTTATTCTGCATAGTTTGTTTTTATCTAATTCCCGGCCGAATTGAAGTAGTGCCGCGGCGAGCGTTCACGCGGCGCCTTCGTTTTACAGCGGGAGAAATTTTGGGAAAGCTTTAGGTCGCGGACAATCATGACGAGGAGGAACAGCTTTGCGGAAATTGAGGAGACGAGGAAGGAGCCGAGGTAAGTTTATATATATATATCTTAATTAACGTTACGGGATGCACAGAGGGTCGTTGGATACTCTCATCCACATTACGCGGGCGTTAGAACATTCAAATATCGTTTCGGGAGACATTAAAATATCAATTTTCCATCAAATATCCTGATTTCTTTAAATCTCCTATATTTTTGCGGAGGAAAAATAAGTCTAATGTTTCAATTGACGTTGAATTTCTTGAATGGAAATTATAATATTTTCCGAGTTAACAAAATAGTTAAATCGAATGCTGTCTCGTAAAGTAATCTTTAGAACGTGACAATGAAGTTTCTACATAACAAGCAAATTCTTTATTACACGAACATCAATCCAATTTATCGCATCGAACGTGAGAAACGAACGGATGATATGAAAAGTGAAAACTGACAATTCGTCGTTGAAACAAATCGCGTGGCCTCCATCGTTATGTGTGTTCACGTTTTGCTGAATCGTGTTATGTGGAGCTTAGCGGTTCCTATAATTGTCGAATATCCGCTATAAATTGTCGCAATTGCATGCCACTTCCCGATAGCTCGTACCCCGCGCGTACTACGACCCAGATATATAACTCCTCTTAATTGTAGGTTTCATTGTTTCGTTATAATATCGACGCACCGTGAACTGCCGTTTAATTTCACTAATTAAACATTATCGTGCCCTGCGAGGTCTGCGACCCTTTAGTTGCGCCCGTAATTTTCAATCATTAATAAGTGCGAAACGATACCTTTTAGAATTAAAATTAGCTTTTAAACGAAAAATGAAACGTGATATTTAATCGACGAAGTTCTCCGTGAGAAATGAAATCGAGAACTGAATTTTGAACACTTTCACTCGGGTCAAATTGTTTTTCGTTTTATACAAATATTTTGTATTCCGACGGACTTGTACTTGTAATTATATATATATATACACACATATATTCGAGCTAGAAAAACAAGTTTGTCCTCTGCCATCCGAAAAAATGTAAAAAGGCTGTGCAATAAAATATGTAGAATATATTTCTTTTATATTTTACGAATGAACAGATGTTACTTGATGTTATTTGCTACTGAGTGTTGAAGAAAATATTCCGGGAAATATTTCCAGCTGAAAACGTTTATTTTGAAGTGAATTTTGAAGAAAAATAATGTGAAACTGTATGTATCTCCTTTTGGAGATCTATTCTTAGATTTCATGGTCGGGGGCTAATCCGATCAACTACAGTTTTTGTGTTTCTCAACCGCGCTTTTTTAACACGTGTATTTTTGTATACTATAGAATATATAATGTCTTCACCGCATACTATTTATTTAAAAAAATGTACTTGAGGCTAAAAGAAGTACTATTCATATTTAATTTACTTATATAAGAATCAATTAATAATTCAATTTCAATGTACATAAAGTGTACGTACAAAGTTTAGTCATGTATTGTGAGAATTAATTAAAAGCGTTAATTATAATTTAAATAAATCTAAGTTAATTGGATTTAGTGCGTACAGAATTATAGCAAAGCTTGTTTTTAAAAAATAAACTTCCTTTATATTAGATGAAAATTGGAAAACATTTTTATACGAACATAACATACGAGCATTTGGCAAATTTTCAATTTACTGATTAGTAAACAATCTAATTTTCTCTTGAAATCAATATTCTTTTTTTTTACTGCAATATTACGTTGTGTATATTATCGAAGAATAATTCTTTAACTTATTATAAAGAATATCTCCATAATAAAAAATACAATAAATGATTAAACTATGATAGAAAATTATTATTCTTTCACTTGTATAGTTTGAACGCGCCACTGCGCCATGTTTGGAACGCAGAAATGGCGCTAACAATCAAAATTATGAATTATGTAACTGAACATCCAATTTGAGCAACTGCGAGTAAATACGTATATAATTTACGTATCTAACTTAATTACTAGGAATTTACTTAGAGGAACCACTATTGTAAAGAGTATATAGTGTTACGGAACGAAATGAGACGCGAATGACGATCCCCATTTGAGAATGATCATAACCTCTCTACTTCAGATAGAACACACAATTTGTTCAACATTGCAAATTCGCCAATCGTCTACAGTTCTGCGTCGAAATAGTTAAAAGGTATGCGGTACCTGTGAACCCGAGAGAATGATAGAGCTAAGCAACGCGCAGGCCCAAATTGATTTTCCTCTGGTCAGCTGGTGGTGTTCGTCGACGAACGATGCGGTTACCGTTTCTCGCGATCCCAGAGGTCCGATCATCGATGGTGATACGAACGAAATTGGTCGTAAGATTCTCGATGAAGCAAAACCGGGCGAGGCACAAGGAAATCCGACTGTAAATGGTGATCAAGAATCGTCTGGTTGTCAACAAAGTGAGTGTTTCTGCGGGGAACTGGCAGTGCGAAATGTTTGATAGAACCGACGAAAGATGGCGATAGCCGTTCGACTTGACGTCTCTCGATGAAAGATCGTCGTCGATTTTCTGTGAAATACTTCGATGATGAAACTCAAAATTAGGAATTACATGAATTTCTTTCCGTTCCTTTCTTCTCTTTTGTAGCAGAGAAAAAATATGACATCCTCGGCGTCGTCCAGCACCAGCTCCGCGTATGCGAGCACGGACGACATTCGCCAGTATTACGATAACGACAAACGAAATTTCCTTGATTCGGACGAGATCGGAACTGCTCGACTATTACGTTCGTATTCGCCCGGCCGCAATAGAGCGGCCGGATTCTTCACCAGACACTTTGTCAACAAGTGAGTTGTTCTTTTTCGCGAAAATTTCATTTCGAAAATAAAGGAAGGTTGTTCTTTTAAATGGTTCCTTTATGGTATTAATAAATCAATTTGGTTTTTTTTAATGTAAACATTACGAGAACGAAATCAGTTCAACGGGATGGGTTGTTAAAGGTAAGAGGCAAGTCGGCAAGATTCCTATTTTAACTGACAATAAGTAATTACCTAAGAAATGGGAATCCCCCACTCTGCCTCGTCCAAGCTATCATCACGTGTATCGGTTTGAAGTTTTTGACCGAAATTATTGAATGGTCGGTGTTAGAAAACATTTTTTTTCAGAATGTATATTTTCTTCGTTGTGAATGAAAGTTTATATCTTTATGATATAATACTCGGGAAATATTTGTTAAAATGATTCATACGTGAAATATAAAACGCAGAAAGATTGTTATTGTTACACTTATCGCGTCTTATTAATTTATCAGTTTTTGAGTGATAAACTTTAAGTCATTGTTGCTGATAACATTGATGTATTACACTTTATAAAAAACTGTGATAAGATCAATTTCAAAAACAACTGAGTAATCTATTCGTAATCTATGTATAGTACATGTGAATTTTTGTGCTAATTTACGTTTTACAAGTTAATTTTTACAAGGTAGCGTTAAACGGAAATTTGTACTATTCATTGGGTGCTATATTGGGTTCATAATGAAATGAAATGTTGACAACACTTATATTAACATGAATAATAATATTTAGAATAAACACTTACACATCATCTGAACTTATCTGTTGTTATTATAACACACAGCTGAAGTGTGACTAATTTGAAATTTGTAATTAAAACGTCTATACTGATCAGGGCTATATAGTTGTAATAATTATGCACTTACCCTACTGTTGCGTATGACCTCGATGGCGATTTTGCTTTCACTTCTCTATCGTCAGTTACTAGCGCAGTTCCTAAATAAAAGCCAATTTAATTATAAACATTAAAACAATGCGATATTAGAAATGTCATTTAATTATGAAACTATCTAGACTGAAACGAGTAGAGAATTTTCAAATACAACGAATTATGGAATGTTTTTTAAAGACCTGCGATCGGCGCGTCAACTTCGATTCACTCGCAACTGCAAACTGACTTAAGATATTCTGAATCCAAAATACGAAGCTAAGAGATATGTTAATCTTACACATGCTATCAGTGTCATGCATAATAATAATATTAATATTCTGTCATGCATAATAATAACATATAATAATTTTTTCCTAAATAATTTTTCGCGATACTACAACAATGAATGTTGACGCTCGCAGCTAGAAAGCTTATAGCTAGAACGACAAACAGTTATTATAACAATGTAATAAATGAATTTCAATTTCTCGATTTCAATTTCACTGGGAAAACTCGTTGCTATTTACTTTTGTAATTATTAAAAAGGTATACCGCAAAGATTGCTTTTTACTTAAATAGGAAGTCAATTATACCATATAGGGAGACCAACAACTTTCCACCCGAAACATGCAAATAAATTCGTTTTCAGGTTTTACCTCACTACGAAAAATATTATAATAGCTGGTGTTGTATTAGCTGCAGTGATTCTAGCGATAATAGCAGTTTGTAGTATTTATGGAGCGAATAGAGATCTGGAATTTCAAGAACATGAGGAAGTGCCGCCAGATCCGGAAACTAAGTTACCTCCATCGCCGAGTAAGCTGAGGGTTTTCAAACGGGGCGCCGTTTGCGCGGATGGTGCGCCATGCGCGGTCGTGGGCAAGTATGTACAACATTAAAAACAATGAACAGTTAATCTAAAAATATTATAGAATTATGCTACCTTTGTTTTTCCTTTTTTTTTTAATGTTTGCAGATCGATTTTAGAAAATAATGGTTCTGCGGTGGACGCTGCGATAGCCTCTATGATTTGCAATGGTCTCGTGAATATGCAAAGCATGGGTATTGGCGGTGGTTTTTTCATGACAATTTATGATAAAGCTACGCAACGTGCTTACACGTTGGTCGCTAGAGACAGAGCACCGTTGGCGGCCACTGCGACGATGTACGAAGGCAAGCCTAAAGAAGCATCGTTTAGTGGTACGCGAATTACTTTCCCTCTCGTGTTCTCTGGACAATCGAGGAATAATGAAATTAACGAATGGAAATATTATTAGGACCGTTATCCATCGCTGTTCCCGGAGAAGTGGCCGGCTACTGGGAGGCCCACAAACGTTTCGGTAAATTGCCGTGGGCCGATTTATTTAAGCCGTCGATCGATCTGTGCACAGAAGGATACAATTTAACAAAAATCCAACACGACGGATTTACATATAACTCGAAGAATATTTATCAGAATTCAGTATTAAAGTAAACGCAGTATTACGATCGTTTATCCAGCACCGACGACGCGAGTTTTAAACATTTTTTACCCCTAGGAATTTGTTTGTGGATCCAGAGACCAATGACTTCTACAGACCAGGGACGATCATAAGACCCAAAGTCCTCTGCAAAACTTTGCAGACTCTTGCAGATAAAGGAGCCCCTGAATATTATAACGGTACTCTGGGAAAGTTATTAATACAGGATTTGCAAAAGAAGGGTGCAATATTGACGACGAAAGACTTAAATAGTTACAGGTATTGTACCCTTCGTTACACAGGAGAAGAGCCCGGAAAAGAATGCGGATCTGAGTGGCCTCACGTTTTTTCGGCTCTAGCGTGCGATTTACCGAATAATCATGAACTAATCAATCACACGACGCTGTTAGTGAACGAACTATACAGCGGAAGACCCCTCTTGTTCCTGTGCCGTCCCGGGACTCTTACCCTGAGCAACATATTATATTGAAATAGTTTAGAACTCTACATTGAAGTGTTACATGTTGAATTGCGGTTCTTTTCAGAGCTACCTGGGAGGAACCTCTCCAAACGAATCTTTCCGACGGATTGAGAGTGTATACCGTTGGCATGCCTGCCAGCGGCGCTCTCTTTACATATATTTTAAATATTTTAGATAACTTCCATTTCACCCCTGCCAGTATAGCCGACAACAACCACACAATTCTTACATATCATCGAATGATAGAGACGTTCAAGTACGCTTACGCGTTAAGAAATGACATGGCTGATAAAGAGTTCGTTGACATGGAGGAAGTTAGTAAAGCTTAGTTTAACCAACGGTCTCTTGTAACGAGAAATACAAGAATAACATTCATAACTCATGTTCTGATTGCAAGTTACACCCTGCAGTTGGAACCCTGGATTATTGTCGACTTACAGCTGCATTTCTATTAATTTCAGTTGACTAAGAATTTAACGTCCAGGAACTACGCACACTTAACGCAAATGCAAATAGACGATCACAGAACATGGGATGATCCGAATCATTATGGTGCCGTGACATTTGGCACTGCAAAAGATCACGGAACTGCCCATGTTTCGGTACTAGCGCCAAACGGCGATGCAGTTGCAGCCACTAGCACCATTAATTTCTAGTACGTTCCATTTACTATTTGGTGCACTATTTTCCATTGGAGTTAACTAAAATTTTATTTTGTTAACGCTTAACGATTGTTATACAGCTTCGGAAGCGGAGTAGTCAGCGAAAGTACTGGAATATTAATGAATAACGCGATGAACGATTTCGGAGTTCCATCTACGCTTAGTTATTATGGTGTTCCACCTAGTCCCAAAAATTTTATTGCGCCCGGAAAGAGGCCATTATCATCGATGGTACCGTCAATTCTTGTTGACCCCAATGGCGACGTGAAAATGGTTATTGGAGCTTCTGGTGGGACAAAGATCACTACTACTGTATCACAAGTCAGTATTCTTTCAACTATAGATTTTTACAAGCTATTCTAGTAATATAAAAGACCTCGAGAATATTGAGAAAAAGGAAACTCAAAGGAAACGGAGCTGATACTTCTCTTAGAAAAGGAGTTTGCTAGTCACAGATTAGTGGGTCAGAATTTTATACCTGAATCTTTTATTACCTGAACATCTGCTACACTCAACAGAACCACCTACAACCGATATCTTTTCAGTGTAATACAAAGCAAAAATTGAAGATTAGTGTCTAATAAATGGTTTCATAATGCAAAATAGTGGTATCGAACAATGTAACACAATCTCCGCGGTGGTGATTTCAATGCTTGCGTAAGAGCAATGTTATCAGTTCAAGTCCCTGTAGAATTATTCGAAAAACATCTGTCACTTAAAATTTTGTATCGGTTCTTCGAGGTATTGAACATCTTTAATTTGAGATTAAATTTGAGAGTAAATAAACAAATTTTTTCTACAAATTTCACAGATCATAACTTTTCCCAGTGTACCTTGTATGATTTCAGATAGTAGCCAAGATCCTTTGGATGGGAGAAACTGTTAAGGAAGCTATGGACGCGCCGAGAATACACCATCAATTGTTTCCCCCAGAGATCTCTTACGAATACGGGGTGCAGAAAGAAGTGATAGATGGCTTGAAGAAGATTGGTCACAAAACCGCGCGTTACAGAGTACGCGGTAGCGTGGCGTGCGTTATTCTCGTGAATAATGGCACCATTTACGCGAATGCGGACTTCCGAAAACTCGGCGACGTATACGGAATTGATTGAATGGATACGGACATGTAATAAGTAAACGTTATCCTCAACATTAACGGTACAACTTCCCAAACTGTAACAGGGGAACGTTGGTCGAGAGTATTGGTAAAGTCTTCGATTTTAATTAAATTTAAAAATTTCCAATTCCTTCCGAGGAGCTTCTCTTGTTATAAGTTCGTCCTGTACACAATTGTACGAACTTGGACTTCCTCAATAAAACTTTTGCACGTGTCATATCGTTAATCAATTTCTCTTGAATTTAATTTCGAAATTTGTTAAACAATCTTCCTACTGATGACTTAATACCGAAGTATTTATAGGTGTTATCAATCTGTGTTTGTCATGGAAACTTCTGTCTTACATTTACTTAAGCGAATAAGATCTAAGTGGAAATCCGTGCCCGCTCGTTCCCGAACGTTCTAGTAAGAGGAAACCGATAAATAAACTGATAGTAAAGCGATATTTTTCCGAAAGTAAACAGACCTATTTTTATCTACAAATTACATATCATGTTGTGTGTAGTATTTTATCGCTTTTTTCGGAAATCTTGACAGGTATTTCACGTTTTGTTAGCTACTCGTTACCAGTAAATTTTAGATCAAATTTCATATGTATATACCGATGTCTTATTCATTTCCTCTAATCATGCAAAGAGAATATTAATTAAATATCTC